TCTGTTATGATCAGAATTCGTCTACATCTTTCTCATGCAGAACCAAAGAATATATTCTACTTCGCCTGCTGGTTCAAGGCCACTGCAAGTTCTGAACTGAGGTATCGAGCGAAGGAAACGAAAAAACGATAAAACTGAAAGTCGCCGTTTACAGCAGCGAAGTAAAAGTTCAACGAAATCTGAAAACCCTGAATCAAAAGACACTGAAGCTCAGGTTCAAACTGTCAGAGCGAATTAGCAGCATAACAATAATGTTCAACATCATCACAGACACTAACACAGACAGGATGCAGACGGCTAAGCAGGCAAAGAGGCTCCTGGGTAAAAACACCAACTTGCCGTTTGTCAGTTAAGTTAATACCCCCCCCCCCACCCCTCAGAAAAAAAGGGAAGTTGAGAAAGAACAAAATGGTGGAGTTCATTGCATCTTGCTCTTTGCAATTCGTAAACTGACTTGTACGAAGCTACAAGGTGAGATCGTTGCATTCAATGAAACGAGACGTCAGCTCTGGAGATGAATTTAAATGGAGCTCAGGGGGGAAAGTCTCCGCTGGGCGTGTTTTTATTTCCAGCTCGGCTTCGCGCTCCTGCTCGGTGTCATCAGCGACTTTTCAGAAAAGCTACTCGTACGATTGTCCTCGCGTGATGGAGGCGGGGTCTCGCTGCGATAGGAGCGCCGACTGGTGGCCTTCACGCTTTGCACTCGCCGCAGGTTTGTCCCGTGCGGCGGTTCCTCCCCGGTGTGAACCGCGGGAGTCAACTTGTTCTGCTTCACGGAGGAGGGCTGTCGACCCAGGAGGGAGGGGCTGCGAGACGGCGTGGAGGGGACGGACGGGGGGCCCAGATCTTTCTTGGTTCTGGAGGACGAAGCTACAGTGTTACGGGCGAAGCCGGGGAGATCAGAGGGGTTCTTTACGCTGAGCGCGTGCAAGCTGCTGTTGTCGGATGAAGCTCCGCCCTGCGCCTGTGCCTGAGCCTGAGCCTGAGCTTGAGCCTGGGCCAAGGCTCTCATCGTGGAGCGGCACATTTTCTCCTCAGGAGCAGGCTTGGGGATGTTCCTCAGCGGTTTGGCGCTCGGCTTGTGGATGGAGGCCTTCCTTGGCATCGCATTGCGTGCCCACCTTGAAATGCCACTGGAGAGGCTGCTTCCCCTCTGAGCTGTTGTCTCATCGGGCGGCAGACTGGAGTGTCGAGGAGGTCGCGTCGTCTTCTCGCTCCTTCCTCTCGCTGGCGTGCTCTGGTCCCGGAGAGGACGCCGTGACTCCCCGCTCTCATTCACCAAAGTTCTCTCTGGGCACTTGCTGCTACTCGTCCTCGTGGGCTTGCTAATGGGCACGACTTTCCTCATGCCCTGGTTCTCGCTGCTGGTGAGCGTTCGTACTCCGCGACCTCCACCGATTTTTGCTGCTTTGTTGGCTTTACTCTTTGCAAGCACCAGTTTTCTGTTGCTCTCTGCATCTTTCTCTGCACCTTGTTTTCCCTCGGCGGTGTCACAGCTCTCCGTGTCCCACTCCTCCGTTGTCACAGACGGCGTCATGGATGTTGCGTCCACAGATTTTGGCGCTGAACGCTCATTGGTGGAAACGGACTGGTTGTTGGGAGACTCTAGATTCGAGGAGAGACACCTTGGATCTCGTTGGCTCTCCTGGTCTTTGTTACAGTCCGTCGTTCTGAAATGACGCCCCTCTTTAGTTAGAGACGGGCTTTCAGCCTCAGAGTAATCCAGAGCGACGGAACAGTCTGTCTCTGTGCAGTCGAGTATGTAAAACACTGGCTTCCTATTGGATAGTGAGGTATCGAGTGGGAGGGGTGTATCGCAGGTTGTAGAGGAAACTGTGCTGTTGTCCTCTTCTTCTTTCTCTCGTTCAGGAGAGGACCCGGCCTGTGTGGGAGGATCCATTTTATTTTCCCACGCTTCCTTGGGATCTGCTCCTCTGTCTAAAAGTTTATCACCTGGAAAGTTGTCCAGACTCTTGGGGGGTATCCGTCTCTCCTTTTCCAAATCTGTCACCACTAAATCCCCCTGATTGACAAAGTGCATGTGATTACTGTTGTTGTCTGGAGTAGGTAGGTCGAAGGCTTGAGGACCTCGGACTAAAGTGTGCTTCTCCAAGCTAACGTTCATGTGGCTGCTAATTGTTGGGTTGGGCTTTTGAAAGACGCAAAAGGATCGAGGCAGAGCGCTGCCTTCAGATACAGACGAGTAATGATTGTTGTTGTTGTGTGGTTCCTCGTTATCATTTAACCCAGAAGAGGAAAACCTGGCCAGTGGGCTGATGGGTTCAGTTTGTGCACATGGAGACGTCGCCTGTCTGTCGCAGCCTAACTCCCGGTTGTCATCCTGCGCTGAGATCCACGGGGTCGTCCTCCGCTGCATGGGGCGGCCCGACCGAGGTAGGCTGTTAAACTTGGAACAGTCAGTGGGATTCCCGGCGCCGCCAAACAGCTCAAGGTATCCCTGGAGTTCACGGTCAGCTATGGAGGTCATGGTATGACGGTGGCGGCGGGCGCTGGCAGAACGTCCCAGCGGGGTGTGTGGACTCTGAGACCTCTGCTGGAAGAAATCCAGGAGGCCTTCCTTGTTGAGCATTTCCACATCATTCTCGCTGCTGCTGCGACCGAATCCTCCGCTCTGATCCGCACCCGACCACGCAAAGCGCTTTTCCTCCAGCTCTCTCAGACGACGCTGTCTGGCCGCTTCCTTCACCTCGCGATCGGAGTTGTCCTGAGAGAAACATAAAGGTGAGATAATGTGGAGTCAGGCTGACAAAAATATAAATGATGCCATGTTCCCAGAGCTCACCTTTCAAAGTAGATAATACACCTTCTAATTAATATTTGAACCAAACTGACCTTAACGGCTTTCTTGAACTTAATGCAGAAGTCTTGAAAGATGCGGAAGCACTCGTCCAGCTTGAACGTGTCCTTGTCCTCGCAAAAGAAATCGATGAGAGTGTTTCCCTCTTTACGCAGCTCCAGCCTGCGTCTCTTCAGGTCCTGAAGAGTCTGTGCTGAACTCTGTAACACATTTTCAAATTTATAAAATGTTTCATCCACTTTCATGGATGATATCATCTTTAACGCTTGAGTCAGCAGCTGCAGAGATGTTCGGTGGCCTGGATCCAACTTCCTGTGTGTGTGTGTGTGTGTGTGTGTGTGTGTGTGTGTGTGTGTGTGTGTGATTGTGTGTGTGTGTGTGTGTTGCTGCTTCACCTGCAGAAACGGCTCCAGCTGCTGCAGCAGCTCCTGATCTCCTTGAACCTTTTCCTCCAGAGATTTAATCCGAACATATAAAGAAGAAAACTCCACCTCGATGTTTTCCACTGAGATTCTACAGGAGAATAATACAAAGGATTATTCATAAAAATCCTGTTCCTGTCTGCAAATTGTCTGTGTAGAACTAGTGAGTGTGACAACGTGTGACATCGTTCTGCTGACAACACTGTCAGACTGTCATCTGTTCGATGTGAAAACATGGCCGCAGAGAGAAATGCGTGAATACATCCTGAGGGAGGGAGAGAGGAAGGGAGGGAGGGAGGAGAAATCTTGGTGCAGGAGCTGTACTGACGCCACGCAGAGATGACCTTGTGAGGCTGACTGAGCCCGACAGCCTCTATAATCCCACTCTCGACATGATGTGAAGTTAGACGTCAGCAGGAGGGACATGTCTGGAGGACGTTTAACTGCCATTTATGTCATTATTTGATGTTTTTACACGTCACTGATGGTGTTTCTTTCATGTGCATCGCCCAATATTGTTGAAGGTATAATGTTAAAGACTTTGTTTACCTGGCCGCACTCTGAACATCCTGAAGTTTCTCTGGAAACTTGAGCAGCTTCTCGTCTTTTTTCTTTGCCTCCTGTGAGAGGAGACACATTGCACAGCTTATAACCAGATTTCTTTGTTACTGTACAAGGTAAAGCGACGTAACGGCTGTGTGAGGTACTGCTCTTTGTTTGGTTATGTAAGAGCCTGAGCCGACCACTCTTGGCTCTTTTCTGTTTCCTGTCACCATCTGCTGTCCACCTGCCCGCTGTACTCTTGGTGTTTGGTCACTGTTTATCTCAAGCACCACTGTTGTGTAAGATTTATAGAAAACTAACTAACCTGCATTTGCCTCCTTATTTTCCAGCTCCATTTTATTTTGGGAGTTGTGACTGGTTGAACTAGTTGATCTGTGGCTTTGTAAACCCTGTGTAATTTGTGTGTTGTCTATTTAATGCTCGTAATACAATGGAGGTTTAAGTTAATGCCCCCTAACAAGTAAACCTGCAACATCAGCAAATGTGTGAAGCTAAACATCACATTTCCAGCTGGCACAATAGTCCAAGTGTTGATTTAACTCCATGGTAATCTCCATAGCTCCATTTTGCAGTCTTGTATTGGATTACACGACAAGATGGTACAGGCCCTAATGGTGTTGTGTGCATCATATTGTTGAAGTGCAGCTTTAACTTACCATGGCGACAAAGTGCAGCAGGTTCATCCCCGGCTTGTTGGCCTTGGTGTCAGCCAATGAGAGGAGAGAGGAGAGTTTGAATCCCACAGCGTTTCCTGCGTATCCACCCTGAGGATCACAGAGGAACAATGGAGAGGTGTCACAAAAGCATGATGAGAAAATGAGAGGAACATTTTGGTTATATTCTTTATTTTCATCTTGACAATCAGGAGAAGACCAAAACTAGCACTGAAGTCATCCAGCTTAAAAAAACATTTAGCTTATTCCCTTTCCTACAAATCTCCACTGTTGACAGTCAACTTTATATTCTTCATATTTTGGACCACAAAAGTAATATCCTAACACTGATTTGACATTTTTCACAGTTATGGTAGTTGTCAATGATAAAACAATAGAATAACAGCTGCCATGTAAACTGGACAGATGACGTGTTTATGTACAACAGGATAAAATGACCTCACAGCATTCATGATGTTCCCGGCCTGCAGCACCAGATGAAGGATGGCATGAAGCTCCTCACAGCCCATCAGCTCTATGGGAAGACATCAATACAGACTCAATTAGAGGATCCAGAGCAGATTATAGCAGCACAGCACACATTCTTTTATTTCATTCACAACCACAACAACACAACAAAGGGCTGTAATAATGACAGCCTATTTCAAATGTAGTTAAATTACTTCTGGATTTTGATCACCTTCACTTAAATGGTGTCACACAAGTTCGACGTAATTGACGTTATGCAGTGTTGCACTGAGAGCCCTGCAATGCAGTGAGAAAGTAATTGTGCTGTAGAAGGGAAAGTTTAAGAAAAATCCAATAAAGCCCAGAGAGGCAGGACAGCGAGACTCAGCTGAAATGACCCTGGGACATTTTTCTCACAGATGGTTTCTGTCATTTTAAGTAGGTCTCATCACACGGATGTTTGTTTAAGAGTTCATTCTCCTGGTGACTTTGGTTTCATTTAGTTATAAGACTGACTCTGGCTCCACATGATGTCATCGATTCAAGATGCCAGTGTTCACATTCTGGCTTAATTTCTGGTTTCAAGGTTGTAATCATTTCTAGTACAGTTCAAAATTTAAAGCACGGGAAAAAAAGAAAAAGACAACATTGACATCATGTCTGTCGGAGCATCATTTCAGTGCTACGATGACACAGCCTTCTCTTTCCACTGTGACACCTCATCACTGGATCTCAGGTGACACATTCCTACTTTTTGTTTACCGCCTCTGACAGCTCAAATATCTGGGTCACCTGCCCCGAGTGACTGAGCTGTACGAGGGAGACGGAGCTCGCGTGTCGTCACCTTTAGTAGCGACGCGGACGGCATCGATCTCGTGGCTCATCACAGCACAGGAAGGGACAAACTCTTCACACAGGACCATGGCCTCGATCCGGACCTCGTACCTGTCGGAAACAGAGCAGAGCACAGGTTGAATCTGGGATGGTTCCACAGAGAGCTAGAAACTTTTTTGCTTTGGTGGTTTTTCTTTTCTTTCATAGTTTCCGTAGACACAGGCTGTTTATACCCATGTGTGAGTCCAGACAATCATTCCCTTATTTCTCCATAACACAACCCCAGTATTGACGGCCTCGCAACGAGACTGCTAACACAAGTATAATTGCTTCGTTAAAACCCCGTGCTGCTGGAGAAAAGGCAATGTGAGGGGATTAAGATTAGTCCTTTCCAGAAAATATCAAAAGAGGTTTGCAGCAGCAGAACTTTAATCTTTGCAGATAGGGTCAAAAACAGGGTGAAATATCAGCGCACACCCTCCCTCTTTCAACGACTGTCAAAGCAGTGATTCCACATTTCCGCTTGACAGAAGCTCCACCACAAAAATCAACTCACCGTGGCACCTGGATCAGGAGGAACATAAAGGAATCGACCAGCGTCAGCTTGTCCGGGTCGCCTTTGAACATCTGCAGCTTCTTGATCTGTGGAGAAAACAAAGAGACAGGGGAAGCTTTAGACTCTAGAGTCTACAGTCCATATAAACTGTCTTTTGTCATCACTTTATTAAAACGTCATTCGTCATCAGATTTTGTTCAAGGCGTCACCCACATGCACAAATATAAATGGTCAAACACAGACCTCCTCCACCTCCGGAAGCAGCTTCAGCAGGTCTTTCAGCAGCTCCGCCCCATAAATCTTCCCTTCTCCTCGTCGAATGTCTTCAACAATAGAACGGTTGGACCTGGAAATCAGATGAGCTCATTTCAATCAGGTTCCATGATGAATAGCACAGGTGCTATCTTTTATTGGCTTCCTCCCCTGTGTTTACAAAGGCAATAAATGCACCTGTTCTGCACAGAGAGAGAGAGAGATATATGTTCCTGTCCGGCTTAGTTTCATTACCAAACCAAAAATACTGACAAAGACAACGTTATGGACGATAATAAAAGAACATACAGATTTTTATAGCCTTGTAAACTCTATTTCTCAAATGAATTCATCACCTATTTATCAGTCACATCTTGTTACTTCCACTTTCACACTGATTCATCACATATTCGGGTCTGTAGCTCTGCAACACAACACCTGACTGCATCACTGCAATAAAAAAAGACTTCAGTAATCATACACCGCACAACATGATGCCACCCAGTAATTTATAACACCTTTATGAGGCTTATAATCTGTTCACTCATGCTCAGTCAACTCTCAGGGCCACAGTTTATAGGTTCATAGTTTTGTTCCCTCCCTATCCTGTGGGTTTTGGTGCAGGCCAGGGTTAATACTGTGTATGCTGGTATAGTATCTGGAAGTATAGAATTGCAAACCGGTATCGCATGAAAACTAGAGATAGGAGACAGGAAATGGGCATCAGAGATATGAACATCTCTAATAAAATCACTTTTGTTCTCATCTGTGTGTAGAAGGAAGTCAGATTTTATTCCAGAAGCCAATTAAGTTGTAAGTATCGCTTGGTTTAGTTTACCTTGTGTCATAAACTCCCTGTTTAAAAACATAGTTTGTGTCTTTTTGATTAGCCACTGTTGAAAATCCTTCTGTACTTCAACACTTTATAATATTTGTTTTGATTGTTCTTGTGTTCAAATTAAGTGTCTACATGTTAACGTACTTTAATTTGCAAATTCCTTGAGGTACAAATCAAGTACTTTGAATTAAATGTGTATAAATCAAAGAAAACAATCAAATTATTACTGACGGGTAAAAGAAGGTTCTGTAATTAGAGGTTTCTCCATCTTTTAACTCCAACTGGAGAATTACAGAACTCTATAAAACTTTATAGAGTTAAGTTCCGTACATAGAAATTCTGTCATGGAAACTGATTTAAAGTGCATCTAAACTCTTGTTAGAGAGCTGGGATAATATGTGGAGATAGTATAACACAGAGGATGAACACAAACTAGCGTTGAAGTCAAAATGAAAGTGACTGATGTCCCTGTTCATACTATCTCCTCACAGAGAATAGCTTGACAGTCAAATTTCATTGAAATTAAGTGGAGAGCCATGCAAATGCACAGACATGTAATCAGACACCTAACACACTTTTCGTACTTTACTTCAGACTGGTTATGCGTCGCATTGTTCCAGTCTGGCTGAGCACACCTCCAGATATCCTGAACCAATTAATTACAAAAACAATGGAGCTGAGAAAGCTTATTAGAACGACTGACACAGATTTTGACCCTAATCTCCTTCACTTATGAAGGTTTTTAATGAAGCAGTAAAACACAAAGAGTTTGCAAGATAACATCAGTGTCGGGACTGTAGAGTGAACCAGCTTAAAACACTTTATTAAAATGTACAACATGAGAAACCACAGTGAAAACCTCTCTCTTATACTGTAAATATGTTGTGTTCCCTGATATCAAATGACACTGGGATCCATTATCCCCAAAATGTTTGTTATCCAACTGCGTGATGAAGAAACAAAAGGTTAATCAGCTCATTGACCTCCTCATAATGTCCAAATCTATCAAATCCATCTCTCTCCTCAGTACTAACGTCACCTCCTTCCTTCAGTAGCAGTAATCCTCATTCACAGCCTCAGGCTCTGCAGCACAACATCTCTAAACCAGTTACACAACAACCCTCAGTTTCATTATATTCCTCTCAGTGAAACAGTATACTGTATATGCACACAGGGGACTACACAACACAACACAATGAATGTACATGCTTCCATACAGAGCACAGATGTTAATCCAAATGCACAGTCACCAGCAGTCCCTCTAAATTCAATCAAGCTGCACCAAATTTCTAAAAACTCAGATATCAGTCCAGTGAACATGCCTGATTTTTTTAAATCAAGATCCACAAATTATTCCCCAGGAAATTAATGAAGATGTTAGAAAATAGAGCCCTAACCCTAATTTAACAGTGTCCATCATATTAATGCTCAGGGTCTTTCTATTCATCTACAGTGTGATAAAAACATGCAAAACAAATCACCTAACTTAAACCACTCAGTGTGCTAGCGGACGTTGGATTTGAGAGCGATGTTTGCAGCAACTTTCCAAACCTGGCAAAGGGACATGTTTACCCACTGTGTCTGACCAGCTGTGTGGAGGTCAGGGTCTGAACTTCTCTCCAACGCCTTCCAGGTGACACTGTCTCAAAGTGTGCGCCCACATCTCCCCCCTCTCTCACACAGGCTGCCTTGTCACTTTGCCCTTGAATGTGTCTGTTCAGAACGAAACACTTTTTCCTGCTGACTGGTTATTTTATAGCCCTTAACGGCAGAATCTCCACCACAGTGTGTGAAATTTGTTCTGGCAGCTCCCCTGCAAGCCCACAGTTACCCATAACACCTTTCATTGTGTGGAACTGACGAAACGTTTGTCTTTTTTTAGAGATAATAATTCTACCAGGCAGCACAGTGATGCAGTGGTTAGAACTGTCACCTCACAGCAAAAAGGTCCTTGGTTTGAATCCCAGTTCTTTCCCAGGTTCCCTCCCGTGGTCGTGTTGGTTTTCTACTCGTACTCAGTCGTACTCAGACACTAAATTGACCATGGGTGTGAATGTGGGTGTGACTGGTTGTTTGATTCTGTGTGTCGGCCCTTCAAAATGCCACTGACGTGTTCAGGGTCAGTCAGAACCACCAAACACTCAACATCGGTGTTTCCTTTAATTTGTGTTCCATGAGTACATATTCCACAGAGCTTTATAACTTATAATAACTTACTTCTTGAACTGCTTCAGGAAAATGCCAATATTCATCCCTCTCTTGGAATCAAGAATGCTGATCTGAAAACAAACGAAAGAGACCATAAGTCATTTCGCTGTAGCTCTGATGAGCTTGAAACAGGAACAAACACCCACCGCCCCACCCAACACCCAGCGTCACCCTGTGGGATATAGAAATTCCACGTGGCCACGTGCACTTCACTGCTCCTTCATTAACAAAGGCTTGTACTGTACAGCACGTACATTTTTAAAAAGGCTCCGTCACAAGACCTAATTATAGCTTTGAAACAATCAGACACTTCTGTGGATGGAATTACAGCAAGTGCAGCTGAGGTGGAAGAAAAGAATCAACATTCCCCCAATATAACATACTGCACAATAATATAGTGTTGAAATGATAATTCATAAGTGAATTACTTTAATACAATAACTTTGATAACTGGAGAATCATTGAAGTCGGTTAGAAAAAAGCATCTTAAATTTGAAGCATCTTAAATGTGAGAATATACAATATTCTTTCTCCTCATTATATTGAAAACTTTTGTTTTTTTAAAGCAAACAAAAAGAATCCAATCTTTCATTCTGGAAACTTGTCATTTATTTTGTTATTTTGTGACTTTCCCTGACTATTCTTGATTTAAAAAAAAAGATATTAATCAAAATAAAGACAATCATTAGCTTCAGCTCTAATAATAAACATGAGTCTCAGAGATATGCTTCTGTGTGCACCGGTTACTTACTCCCACCGGTGAGTTTAGTAACAACTGTCCCACGAAAATTGCACAGACTTTTGAGTATCCTCACACAGGTATTGCTTTACAGTTCAGGTGTTACTCACCAGGAGTACTCAATTACGCAAGCACATCTTCATGTTCATTACGGACACAATCATATTTTACTCTCAAAGAAAAAGCTGTAACTCAGCACCGTTACATAACGTGTCCCTGCAGGGATTTCACATAATAGCAGGAGCAGAGTGGAGTGATGTGCTGTGGCTTTGTGTGGTTATCAGCCTGGGACTTTGAATCCCAACAGCGGTGCGTTCAGGATCTAAAGAGACCAGAGCATCGTGCACATGTGTGCAAATGGTCTGTAGGTGTCGCAGAGTCAGGTTTGGATATTTACTGATTCTGAGGTGAAGGTGAATCTCATATTTCATTCAACAGAAAAATCAGATCTACTTTTGCAAATAGAGAATAATTGCAAACTTTTTTTGAACTTGAAAATAATATAAAATCTATAATTACCGCACTGTGGTTGAATGAAGAAATGGGCTTTGTGAGTTCCCAGCAACTTTGACCTTCGACCAAAATCGAAATCAGTTCATCCTTAAATCAAACTGAACATTTGAACCTAATTTGAATAAAATCCCTGAAGGCATTGTTGAGATATCATGTTCACAAGAGTGGGACGGATGGACAACTCAAAAACATGATGCCTGTGTGTTGTATAAAACTCAAACTCCTCCATCACTTATTTTAGAGGTCAGTGTCAGACTCCTGACAATCACTCACCTCATCCTTGCTGCTCTCCTTGAATGAGCGGGATCTGGATACACCGGCTGACGTCCCAGTGGTCGCCGTTGCCCCTCGTACGCCCCTCGCCTCCTCCTGTTGCCCGAACAGCTCCTCCACTGAGCGAACGTCGATCTGGTACTGCTGCTGCCGCACCGCCAGCGTCCAGATGTTGGGCTTACCGTGCACCTTCTCCTCTGGGATCGGCTTCCAGAAGAAGCTCCGAACGCGACGCTTCTTCCTCGCATTGTGGCACGTGGTCGCTGGGGGTGGCGGAGGAGGGGGAGCGCCTGGAGGTGGGGGAGGCAGGGGAGGAGGAGGAGGAGGGGGAGCTTGGTGCTTGGAGGTGTCCGGGGTGTCACTGAGGGAAGGTAGAGTGGAGTGTCCAGACATAGAGGACGATTCAGAGGTGGTGATGGAGGAAGAGGTGCAGCTGCTCCCCTCACCGCTGCAGCTCTCGGGCTCATTGGTAGTGGATGGACTACTCATAACCAGCATCACAGTGAAAGGCGGTCAGCACATGAGCTCTATGCTGAGAGAGTGTGGTGCACAAACGTAATCGACCGGATCAGTATGTCCTCTTTCTCAAAATCCAGAGAACTAGTTAATTTTCTTTTAGCTGCATCAGTCTGACGAAGGTGTCCCCTTCATCTAGTCACAATGAAGGGAGCATGTCCTTTGATTCTGTCCGTCTCCATCACTCGGCTGGTCATCCATTGTGCTGAGCGCTGTGCTTTGAAGGTTACCTCCCAGGGGGAAGAGGGCGGCGATGGCCATGGAGCTGCAAGAGCAACAGATACAACATAGGACAGGATTATACGGAGGCAGTCATGCAAACTGTCATGGACAATCTGAAATTAGGGGAAATTACGGGTGTAGCAGATCAAAAGAGAAGGGGTCCCCAGTCAAAGGGGCTCACAATGATTGTTTTCTATTTTTGAAAAGGCTTTGAAGTCAGGCTCTGGAGTGGATAATGGTCAGAGGACTTACACATACAAGTTACGTTACACAATCGACAACTTTTATTCCCTCATAGCAAAATCTGAAGTGGAGCTTCGCAGGTTAAAGGTACTATATGCAATTTTTTCTCTATTGCTACCAAGACTTTAATTACCAGTCGACAGGACATTTTGGAATTACGTGAAACGATGGGTTAGGTCTACAGTTAGAATAACACCCTAAAGCACCAGGACATCCTAGCGTTGTATGCTGTGTCTCATTTTTTGAGTTGATGGATGCATAAACACTGACAATTATGAGTGCAGTAACTACACAGTGAAACTGACTAAAATGCCAGTATTTATAGTGTCAAGCCAAATTTATTGCAGATAGATTAGTGGTCATTCATGTAGTGTCTTTTTAGATAAAGTTTTTTTTTTAAGATAAGGACAATGACTGCTGATCGGACCTATGACCCAAAGTCCAGTTACAGTCTTATCTCAGTTTTAACATAGTTACTGTGGTTTGTACGAGTACATGGCTGTTAAACTCAGAATGGTCCAAAAGTTGAGTGTATATCCAGCTGGAGGGGAGGAGCCACCAATCTATTTTATAAAAAAGGTGGCGGAGGAAGGAGTTCATGACTTCGGTGCTCATCATGCCTTAATGTCCTTAATGTGTGAAACAAGACGCTTACACAATTAAGTTAAATGTTCACTTTTAAGTCAAGTGAGCAAAGTAGCTGGAAGATATTTTGGCAGATGATACCAAATATTGTGCTATAGTCGTTTCCTGTGAGTGATTTCCAAGAACACTATCTCGCTGAATTTCATTATGACATTAACACAAATCATAACCGTGTCTATCTACCAGTGAAGTTTTCCTGCACACCAGAGGATAAACACAGGATAATCTGTTATTCTAAGTGATTATTGATTATGTGGTACATGAGTACGAAAAACCCAGAGCAGGTTTAAAGCTAATAGAAGGGACGGAATTACTTGAGCTGCCCACCCTCCCCCTTTCTCTCTTTAATGGTTGCTGTTGCTCTCAGTTGGAGGGAAGCTAGTTGTGTTTCAGGACAACACATCACTCACTGCCACAGAACAGTGATCTGATACTCCTCCGTCTGAACAAAGACCCGAAGAGACGTTCTTACAAAGAACCGGAGACACAGCAGAAGCATGCAGGGTCATGTGGGTGATAGCACGTTAAGGAACATCAGTTGGTTTCAAATGAAATATCAGAATTAAGAAAAGAGAGGGCATTTTTTTTATCTTAAATAAAAAACTGAATATCAAACACCACGTCGCCACATTCTGGTGATTTCCTGAATCTCCTGACCTCTTACACAGCTTACGAATGTATTAGTTGTAATCTCGCATTAGTTAGCATAGCAGCCTTGTCTACATGAGAGCTAAAGTTTATTACTAATTAATAAAGAAGACGACATCACAGACGGCCTGCACACTCAGCTGTCCCGTCCTCAGAGCCGGACCCCACTGTTACTCATGTCTAATTCATAAGTCGGTGAGAACATCTGACCTCACACCGAGTCGTCTCTACCCGTGCTGCTAAAAATGAGGCTACACTAACGCAGCTATGCAGGAATTTGGGGCTTCCTATTTTTAAGATGAATTAGCACAGTATTATTTGTTAAGCGTACAACTCCCAGCAAGGAAGCACTAAAGAATATTTCCCAAAATGCTGAAATAATCCTTTAAAACTGAAAATACAAGCTTGTGCTGTAAAGTAATTTTCTTGAGTGCACTGTATTCGTAATTAAACCTTTCTCTAACCTTCTCACACACCAGGTCCTGCATCGTTAAAGGAATCATCTCCTCGACAGTGATCGATTTGTAGTATTTATATTGGTTATATTTCAAACAGGGACAAAGCTGTAACGGACTTCATTGTCTAACATGATTTGCAGAGGAGGAAACACACCTTCTAGTAACACAACACAGAGACGCCCCGAGGGGCAGAAAGCAGAGACACAGCTTCCAGATTCCACACATCCACCTGCTGCTGTGAAAGAACACAGACGTGATGGGGCTTCATCTAAAGGTTCACCTGCTGTCAACCCTGAGGCGTTCCCGCTCCCATCAGTCTTCATTACCGACAGGGACTACCCCACCCTCACATCGCCCAAATTAACAAAGGTCAAAGTTAACATGAAGAATGAAAACGGTTTTCTGCAGCAGAGCGGGTGGGGCCCCCCTTCCGATAAATCTAAAGAACACGTCCTGACAGTGGGGGCCCAAACTCAGACCAGGACCCAGGTCAGGTTACAGTTATTCTCACCACTGGGTCTGGTTATTGTTGTGGGTTTCACATTTTAAATCATTCATTTAACTATTATTGTCTTGAGTAACTGATTAATTCACTTGGTCGACTAAGAACCAGCAAGTTGATATTTATTTGTGAGTGTGCAATTTGATGCAGATCCAAATCTTAATTAGGTTTCATAAGGAGACTGTGGGAATACTCGGCCCACTCCGGGGAATGACGGGAGGAGAGAATGGCTGGCGTAAAGTCTTTTATTATCGTTGCCTTCCTTGGCA